CACATCGATTGCTAAACAAACGTTTTGCTAGAGGTCATGAGGTGACGCATTGGCAACATAGGCCATCATGAAGAAAAGGTAGAAATAAATGATTGTAACCAATTGGATATCGGCATCCTTTATCCTCTCATGATAGTGGCAATTTATGGCACCCTAAGAAGCTTATAGTGGAGTGCTGATCTCCGTTCTTTGCCGTAGGCCAGGAGTGTCTTATTTTAAAGGCAGTTGTCAGCCATGTATTAAACACAGACCGGTACTCGTTCGTCGACATCGGAAAGTAGACAACCGAGTCAAGTGACTGCGGTTCCAATCTATCCCTTCTCAGTTCTGAGTCTGACGCTCTACCGACTGAGCAGCCCCTGTCTGTCGGTTTGCTGCCGTGCAGAATCCATACTGCTCATATGACCAGTCAGAAGAAACTATTCAGTTACATAAACAGCGGATAAGCAGGTCAATTCCTACTGTATGATCGATGTCGAAGAATAGCATGCGGAGACATCAGAGTTACATCTTTAAATAATGCAATAACTTCAGTAACGAGTTTTTAGCGTTGATAATCTGCTTCATTGACGACTGGGATTTACACCATACGAAACGACGAGGTACTACAGTAAAACGAGTACTCATTATTACAGAACACGTCACATGTCGTACAACGCCATTGTCTCTGTACATTCGAATTCGAATCAAAATCACTAATTGTTTTCTATAGCGACCGACTAGCACTTTTGCATGGTCACTGGACTGTCTGCGACTTTTTGCGTGATCTACTACAATCGTCGTGCTCCAATGTACGATAATACAATGAATGACCCATAATTTCCGAAGTTCTACGTTGGTTCCGCTTGTTGGAACAGATATTATAGATAGCAGAGTGATTCCGGCCGGCCGCAACAGCATCAGAGAAGGTGTCAGAAGGTATTCAGAGAGTTCGCATTTGCAAATGCATCCAGCGCAGTTCCATGGAATCAGAGATTTACCAGCAGGACTGATATTGCGCTTTGCTTCTTAACAAAGAAACTGCAAAAGACCTCAAGTTACTGACCTCGGAACAAACGTTTTGGCCATATGTTTTTCATGGATTGCATTTACGAACATGCATCCATGAAATATGCAATTTGCCGTGTCTCTGGTTGGTAGTCTAGACGCTGTAGGAGAAATCATATCCGGTTTAGAGTATAAAATTTCGTTCAAAGTGCATTAAAGCCAGTGGTATTGAAAGACACATTGAACGACAGCGTTGTAAAGAACTTGACCTCAACATTCTTGTTACACACATCAATGACTCCTTCACTTCTGTAGCATATGAAAAACACGGTTTTTAAACTTCATCTCGACAGTTCATCTTTCCCTCTTAGATTTGTCTTGATAAATGTCGTGAAATGCATGTGATACTTTTTTACGTTATTGCGTAACTGTTCACCGGTGAAATTGACTTGTTTCATCAGCATTTAAAAAATGGATGTTCTAAATATTCAATGAATTAATGAATTTAAATATCCCAGATTTGATCACGCTCCCTATGATCGATTAAAATTTCCAAATTCCCACGTCACATTTCTAAGATATACGATTTCGGTTTCGACGGTTCTGAACAATTTCTGCTTCAGGGTTTCATATGCAGGTGCAACACATTTGAAACCTTTGTCGACAAATCATAAACTAGATGCTTTTGCATAATTACCACAAATTATACTTCCGGGCATACATTTCTCTAGAGTCAGAGACAAATTCAGTTGGCGCTCGAACGTGCCTTTATTCCGACAACCTCAAAGATGTGGACCTGCAGCTAATACACTTCAGATGTTCAGATATCATGGATCCGTGGCTTGCTTAATTGACCCCTATGCGTTAAAAAGCAAGGAAGAGGTGGGTATACACCCAGTAAATCAGATACTATAATATGAAATGATACAAAGCTTGATCTTCGTCCCATATGAAGAGCAAAAATGCCGACAAACCACAGTAGCTGAACTAGAAGGTCATTGGAAGCCGGAAAGTTCACCGTTCGGAGTTTGGTGACCATGCCGGCAAAAACTGTCCTAATCGCAACATGGTTGATGTCACTATAGTTGACCGACACAGCGACAAAATTAAGCGATTAATCACGAACTTGTACCTTTTGCAAAAAAGTTCCCTGACATTTCCATGGAGTGGAGCCTCATTAATTTTCTCCTTAACAGGAAGTCTAACCTTCCGCCAATAGGGTCTAACTCCATCTGACCAGGGCAGTCAAATACGGTATTATTCATTCATTAGTGGTGGTGACCGATGCCAGTTAGAATGAAACGTTAGAGAGTTATATTTTTATCACTGATAAAATATCAGTTGCCAATCATACCAAGCTTCTGCTGCGGATTGCCTGAAAGCCGACATACCACGCCTTTCAATGATTGGCAGAAACAAATATCATTTTTTGCTAACCATTGAATCAGATGTAGAATAATCATTTTCAAACGTAGGATTCAGTGGTAGGATAATCGGTGTGCGGGAAGAGACTTTGTTACTAAGGCGATGTTTCAAACAACAGGGCGATAAACGGCATCTTTTGTTCGACTTATAAATAAAGTCTTTGGTTAGTTTGTAATTTCAGTCATTGAATCGAAGTACTCTTCTTCTTATTAGAAGGCATTGACAATCGGCGTCAGCCTCAGAATTTTTCCGACTCGATGCAAGTCAGGTCACCCCTTGGTCAAATACATGACGGTAGCAAACAGTGGTAACCTCCTTTTCAGCAGTTCTATGCGCGGCGATAAAAGTTATGTATACAAAGCGAAAATCAGTAAACTGAAGAAAACGTGACTTTCCTCAAAAGCACGTCATACATACCGAATACCCAGAAATTCAGGCTTTTCGCCAGGAGCTGCGGTTTCAGACATCAGTCGAAGGCTGTGCACGTGCATCAACGAGACCACAGTGGCAGCGACATAAAACGGGATGCCGAAAGACGAGCACATGATCATCAGCAAAGCGATCACTGCCAAATCCAAATGGTAGCCGTATCCTTTCTGAACTCAGCGCAAGATGCCAGTTCGACAACAAAATTCAAACAAATGTGATGAACCTGAATTTTATTGTCCTTCCTGTTGACGATGACGGACGTAATGTTCTGGTCCATGGCAATCAGAATACTGAAGAACATTGCCGGAAGCATCGACAAAAAGATCAACCACCACGGGTTAAGCCTCAATGGATTGACCAACCAGCTGCGTGGCGATGTCGGCTGGAAACAGTTTGATGGTACTTTATATTTTATAGCCTGAATTTTAAAAACGGATGTGGAATCTGTAAGGGTCAGTTCTAAGTTCGAAAAATCTTTTACGCGAGGACACAGTTATCGAACCCATTATATAAAAATTCTTAAATTTTTCGGACCGTGCTCGTTCCATTTTCAGGGAAAGAAAATATAAAACAGATAATGTTACAGTATAAATCTTAAATAAGTCAGGTTAAAGCTTTACTTAGCTTTTAGCCTCGGCAGTA